CTTGGTGTGAACATTAAAGTCCCCCAAGACCAAAAGCCTTGGGATCCTCAGTGCCATGTCCAAGACCACTTCAGCCAGCTTGAGCAAAGTGTCTGCCATGCAGCGAGGTGGACAGTACACAAGCAGAACACTAACTTACCCTGGCCACCCAACTCTAGGTACAAACACTCAAAACTAGCACTTTGTTGGACTGGTGCCCTAGCCAGTGAGATGGTATCCCTGTACACAGTCACCACCCTCCCTCCTTGACCATCAGGTCGAGGCTGATGCTGCACCAAGAACCCAGCCATGCACAATTGGGAGAGTTCAACACCTCCCTCCACTCCCAGTTAGGTCTTAGTGATACAGGCCAGGTGGGCCCCTTCATCCAGGAGGATAGCTGTTTTATGGGATACCAAGCTGATATTACTGAATTACTTTTATTTACTATCAAGCCCAGGGTAAATAATTGTTACGTGGGGGAGCAATCAGGGTGTGTCTAGACTCCTGGTTTTTTTTTTTTTTATAAAAAGCGTCCTTTTTTCGAAAAAGCTTCCCCTGCGTCTAGGCTGCTGGTGCTACTTCTTTCTAAAGCAAATCAAAAGAATGCGGCAGTTTTTTCAGCTGCAGTAAACCTCATTTTACGAGGAAGAATGCCTTTTTTCGAAAGCGCTCTTTCGAAAAAAGACACTATGTAATTCATACTGCTTTTTTCGAAAGAGAGCATTCAGACTGCCTGGGTGCTTTCTTTCAACAAAGCGGCTCGCTTTTTTGAAAGTATTGCTTGTAGTCTAGACACTCTTTTTCAAAAGAGGCTTGCAGTCTAGACGTGGCCTCATTGTGTACATGCTCCTTTCGTTGTTAAAGGAGGCTTAATCTGATCACATTTTGAATGCCCATTCAGATTAAACAAAATACAGGACTATGTAGCACTTTAAAGACTAACAGGATGGTTTATTAGGTGATGAGCTTTCATGGGCCAGATCCACTTCCTCAGATCAAATAGTGGAAGAAAATAGTCTCAACCATATATACCAAAGGATACAATTAAAAAAAATGTCCTTTTCATATGTGTTCATTTTTTTAAATTGTATTCTTTGGTATATAGGGTTGTGACTATTTTTTTCCACTATTTGATCTGAGGAAGTGGATCTGGCCCATGAAAGCTCATCACCTAATAAACCATCCTGTTAGTCTTTAAAGTGCTACATAGTCCTGTATTTTGTTTAATCTGAATGGGCATTCAAAATGTGAAACTCTCTCACAGTGAAAGACTGATGATTTATTTGGTGTTTTGATCCCATTTAGAGGTTGGCTTCCTGAATGCTGTGTCATTGAACTGCATTCTCCTCAGAGCTGAAGTGATTCAGTGTCTGCATTGCTCTTCAGGGGGAAAGGGGATGGTAGTTTCAGCACTGTCCCTTGTCTTTGAGGAGACCACAAGATCTGGCTCAGCAGGGAAGGGTGGTGATTTGCCCGAGAGAGCAAGAAGGCGAGTGTTAGTGGCTTTATAAGCACAATGGGAAGCAACCCTGAGGAGTCTTCTGTTACCGCATCCTGTCTTACATAGTTACACTTTCACATCCCTACTCATTAATATGATTTATGTTTCTTTTTTGTTTAGAGTGTGTTCCTAGACATGATTTACTATGCATTATATTCATGTGCTCATCCTTAAAAATGCATTATAGTCTATAGTGTTCATCATTAAAAATTTTCAGAATACCCCTGTGAGATAAAGTGGTATTATCCCCTTTTTACAGAAGGAGAACTGAGGCAGAGTAACTGAGAACAAAAGTATCTGTCATTTTTGCGTGTCTTTGAGACACCTAGGATTTTTCACAATATTTAACAGTCAACATATGGCACTTAATATGTTCAGAGCACAGCACCCATCAGCATGAGTTGCATGTGTGAATGCTAAGTCCTCCCCCTCCCATAAGGAACACACAATTAGTGATCACCTGTGAATAGTTTAGTTTAAATGACTTGATTAGCATCACATAAGAACTCTAGCACAGTTATGGATCTGATCTAGTTCTGTAAAGCAGTTTTTATCTGCCTTAATTATGAAATGGTCCTTTCACTTTTGGTAGCCCCTTGTATCATTCATGACACGTCTTCCAACTTCTTCAGCAAATGAGGCAGGAGTCCTACAGATAGATTGCTTCACTATGTAACTTTGATTTATCCCCAGGTAGATCCATTCTGTGCATTGAATGAGGCAGAAGTGGGTAGGTTCTCATTCAGTGTTTTTTAATGTATTTTTTTGTGTGCAATTAGAAATAAGGAACTAATTTTTAACCATGAGGGTAATTAACCATTGGAATAAACTACCACGGGTGGTGGTGGAAGCTCCATCTCTTGAAGTCTGCAGATCAAGACTAGATGCAGACACAAGCTCTTGGACTTATTGCAGGAATAAATGGGAAATTCTGAGACTTGTGTTATACAAGAGGATCCTTCTGACCTTAAAATATGTAACTGTGAAAGTACTGAAGCCCTATTTTTTTCTGCCTATGTTCAAGCAAACCCATTGCCTTTTCCATTCACTTCTAGTTTACACGTAAGAATGGCCATACTGGGTCAGACCAAAGGTCCATCATCTAGCTCGGTATCCTGTCTGCTGAAATTGGCCAATACCAGATGCTCCAGAAGGAGGGAACGCAACGGTGATCCCTCTCCTATCATCCATTTCCAGAGAAACAGAGGCTAGGGACCCCATTCGTACCCATCCTGGCTAATAGCCATTGATGGACCTAACCTCCATGAACCTATCTTGCTCTTTTTTGAACCCTGTTAAAGTCCTAAGCTTTACCACATCCTCTGGCAAAGAGTTCCATAGGTTGACTGTGTGCTGCATGAAGATAAACTTCCTTTTGTTTGTTTTAAACCTGCTGCCTATTAATTTCATTTGGTGACCCCCTCGTTCTTATATTGTGGGAATAAGTAAATAACATTTCCTTCACTTTTTCAACACCAGTCATAATTTTATAGACCTCTATCATATCCCCTCCTTAATCTCCGCTTTTCTAAACTGAAAAGTCCAATCTCTTTAATCTCTCTTCATATGGGACCCGTTCCAAACCCCTAATAATTTTTGTTGCCCTTTTATGAACCTTATCTTCCTGCTACATTTGAGATATTGATATTTCTTGTATCTCCAGTATCTCTTTGCTAAAAATAGAGGGAGGCATTTTGACTTTGTAGAGGGCGAGCTCCTCTGCCCTCCTGCTGGCAGCTGTTCTATATAGCTCTGGTGAACTAGAAACTACACATACAAATAATGAGAACCTTTATGGCTAATTAATGGCATGTCTACATGCAGAAACTCCTTCTGTACTTTCTATTCACATCTTCAATTCAGTTTGCACGTCTTTCTGTAGCCATTCACTAAGAAAACCTATGGCAGTGGTCCCCAAGCTTTTGGGGCTGCCGGGTGCCCAGGGGCAGGGCCACTCATCTGCCAGGTGCCCGGGGGCGGGGCCGCACACACACCTGGGGATAGGGCGACCCATACGCCACGTGCCCGGTGCTGGCGCCGCTCCTGTTCCGCACGCCCAGGGGTGGGGCTACCCATACACCAGGTGCCCGGGGCTGGTGCTGCTCCTGTGCCATGCACCCCCACGCCTGGGGCTGGCTCCACTCCTGTGCTGCGTGCCCAGGGGTGGGCACGCCTATTCGCCGCAAGCCCAGGGCCGGTACAGCCCATGCACCGTGCGCCCGGGAGCGGGGCCGCCCATATGCTGCGCGCCCGGGGCTGGGGGTGGGGCTACCCATACACCAGGTGCCCGGGGCTGGTGCTGCTCCTGTGCCATGCACCCCCACGCCTGGGGCTGGCTCCACTCCTGTGCTGCGTGCCCAGGGGTGGGCACGCCTATTCGCCGCAAGCCCAGGGCCGGTACAGCCCATGCACCGTGCGCCCGGGAGCGGGGCCGCCCATATGCTGCGCGCCCGGGGCTGGCGCCGCCCCTGTGCCGCGCGCCCAGAGGCAGGGCCAGCCCCAATCACTCAGCGGGCTCACAGAAATGGCCCCGCGGGGCCCATGGGCCCCCCGTGCACCGCGTTT